TGCCACTCATTTCGGAAATTACCTTTTCAACATTTTTAAACAATCATTTTCACCCACGGTACTATTTATGTTCTTGAAATATTTTTGCCATTATTAAATTAACACTTCAAAAATACCTCTCAATGATTTTTAAGATGGACAAAAAAACAAAATTCAGAATGAATAATTGCCAACCTGCGCGTACCAACAAATGTCACTCTTTAAAAAAAAATACATAACGACACTTAAACAGTTGAGTAAACATTCTAATTTTATGCATTCAATTTCCACTAAAGAAGAAGCATTTAAATAATGCGAATAGCATACGACAAAAAAAAGTTCTAGAATAATAAAACCTTATTTTTTTTCTTTTCTGCAGACGATAAAAGAGAAAACAAAACGTTTTCCCCCTTCTTTTGGAAACAAAGTATAAAAAGAAGTGAAGAATCACGCAGAAAATGAGACTGGCGAGTGACGCATTAAAAGGCACTTTTTTTCCCAAGCTGCGTAAACTAACACGTTATTTAGATTGAAGCAGATTGCAGACACCGTGCTGAAAGTAGGGAAGGAAAATAGCTTTTCAAAATGATAGAACAGCTATGTCTCTGTATCTCAAGAAAATGCGGACAAAGACGGATGGTTCATTTAATTTAAAAGAAACGATAAGCATTTCGACGGGAACTTGTCGTATAGTTCACGTTTTTCAATAAAAAAACACACACATAAGAATAATAATAAAAAGTCTATGATAATAACTGTAGAGGGAAAGAAATAAAGAGAGAGAAGAGGAACGTCATTTTTTTCTCGTTTCTTTTCTAAAGCCACCCGTATTTGGTGGTTTTGATGAATTTCGAAATACTTAGATTGAATTTGCTTTTCTTTTTCCAAAGTAAACAAAAGTTTTTTTTGTGCATTTTTTCCTTGAGTGATGTTCCTTGGATAGTTCTTTTTTTCTTCTTCTTTTATCGATTCTTTTTCCTTCGGACTGGTCATTTGTCTTGGTAAGAGGATAACCGTTACTGATAATTCGATTCAGTTGTACGGGCTTGGTAAATATAAAGAGTAAACACTTCCTTTTTTCCCTCTTGTTTTTGGATGAATGGCTTTTGTGGCAAAACTGTATTACTCAAACGATTTTCCATTTAGAGAAATATTTTTTACACAACGGAGTATATATTTATTTCCCTTTCTTAAAAGATTTTAACCGTAAATATTAATCGCGATCGCTTTTTATTATAAGATCTTTTTTAAAATGTTTTTTTCAAACATAATCACTTTATTTTATACATTTTTAACACGCTTTTGTAAGCTCCACTTGTATGTAATGGAATCTTTGAAATCGATTTTTACGATAATCGATAAAGGTCAGATTAATTCGAAAATTTGCAAACTTGTCAAGACAACACCATGATTTCATAATTTCGTTCCATTGTCCTGATCAGGATCATCAGGATTAACTATTTCCTGATTTGGCGACTAATTCCATATACCCTTTCTAGATTTGGAGAATAAAAGATTGTTACAACCCTAAAAGTGTTCTTTATGTGAAAAGGGGAGGGTACGTCTTCAATTTCTTACCATAATATAAACAATTGTTTAGTTTTTCTGAAAACGAAAATAAAAAAAATAATAAAAAAGACTCGTGCATATGAAAAGAAAAATATATGCTCTGACTGCTAAACTCGCGACATAAAGTCTGTTTTTCTAAATTCTCTTGTTGTATCTGTGGAATGAAACATCATTCATTGCTTTATTTTACCAAAACAGCTGAGAATTGATTCAGATGTCACCGGATTAAATAATTTCTCACAAACTCTTCGATTCAAAATGTGTACTTTTATCTCCATACCAACGCAAGTTAGAGAGAGAATATTGAACTATTTTTAGTAAAAAATATCATTACCTTTCACCTTCTTGCTCATGAAATGTTTCAAATTTAGCTCTTCCAGATTTTCTTCAGTTGGCTGATCCTATATTTTGCAATCAGGCCTTATCGACGCACTGATAGGACGCCAATGGGTATTCCAGATTCTAAAAAATGACGCATTTAAGATTAATTCATCAATGAATAAAAATGATAGTTTAAAAAAAATAAAAATACATATTTTTACTGTAAATCGAACAAAAAAAATGAAAAATAAATGATAGTTTAAAAAAAATTAAAACTTTTTATGGCTAATTGAACTAAAGTACAGTTTATCAATTTAGAGTGTTATCAAAATGACTAACGAGATAATGAATGTTGTGGTAAAAGCGTGGTGTGCTTTGTATTATATTTTTAGAACTAGTAAGAAATTATTACAATTGATATCTAGCATCCCACGCTTTTACCACAATAGCACTCATTTTCTCGTTAGTCATTTTATTCTTATACTAAGAATTATTTTTTGAATTTAGTCGATTAACCATAAAAGCGTGTTTTTAGTTTCTTTTAAACTACATTTTTTATGTTGAAATTTACTTAATTTTTTGTAGTGAAGGAGACCTCATTTATGACCTTCAACTATCTATAATTATATCAAAGTATTTAATTAAATTCCTTACATTAAATGTCTATATACTTCAAAAAAGCATAACTAAAATTGCGAAATTTTATACGTGTTTACTTTATTTAAATATATTTTAACATTACCATTTTCCCAGCTCGGGTGCCATTTAAGACTGTTTAGAACTAATATATACCGAAAGTATAAAGAGTAATGACATTTATATAAAACTAGCCGTTAACCACCGACTTCGCTGGGTATTTCACAACATTGACCGACTATATATTATTCAATTCCTAGTAATAGTTCACACTCTCCCTATATATATTTATATTTATATTTTTTTAGATCTTGTTCAAATTTTCAATTGTTAATTAAATACAATTTATTCATCCACTTAAGTTCCAATACGTTCTTTTAAACTTGTAGTGGATTACACTTAATGCGAATGCAGTTTTTTTCAAATAATAATTCATTAATTATATTTAATTAATTAATAAATATCAACAAACAAAAATAATACCCTATATAAAAAGGAAAATCGCTCGTTGTGTCTCTGTAACTCAATGGACTTCTACAAGTTAAGTCAGAGTTTCGAAGTCCCACCCGATGGCTCAATTTCTGAGAATGTGATTTCTTTTACTATACTATTTTATTGCAGTAATTACTTAATTCACGAATAAATAGGTAATAACAACAAAATAACTAACACCCTTATATAGAAAAGAAAATTAGGGTACCAGGGAAGAAAATCGCTTTCCATTTTATGTCACAATAGTAGGATTTTGTCATATGAATATACATATTTATATTACTCAGGAACTGTTTAATAAAAAGTAACTATAAAATAAAATGTTTCTTTGTTGACCTAAGTAGGAATTGACATAATTTTTTTTATATTACTTGTTTTTTAGGTTATTCTAGCATAAAGATTTCGATTCTACAGGTAAATATCCTTGTAGCCGCTTTTGATTTGAAAAGGCTAGGAATTAATTTTCTTAAACAGTGTAAAGACGAACCCCTTGGGTGCCCTTCTCCTAGATTATCAGCGTGAGATAGAGATATAGGATTAAATGAAGAACCATTATGCTGCCATAATCTTAATATTACTTTATTAAGAGATCTTTACTTAACCCCCCAATAACAAATTAGGTACACATGATATGTGAGAGAATCTACGGTGACGAAACACACAATATATTATACTTTGTACAATGTAACCCGGACCACTATCAATAACTAACTCACCTAAGCTCAATTTCAATGTAAACACAGATCCGAATATTAAAATGGTAACTCCTACCTTAATGTCCAATGAAGCAGCAATCTACCGGATCCTAACTGAAGTTGCGGTTCAATGGCGTGGAATTATTCCACCTTGACCAAAGGCTCTCTGTCACGGGTAACCTCTCTGAACTGTCATAACTTCTCGAAATACTCTTCACACTTGCAACACGGACTATCGTAACACTCCCCAAATGCCACACCACTTACTCTAAACTTCTGCTATTTAAAAGCTTCTTAATTTGCATCTTTCACTCACGTTTTACTTTTCGGGTTGGTTGGAAAAGAATTGTCATTTCTTCTGGTTCCAAAGAACCCCAAAAGGACATGTTAATGAAAAAACGCGTGAACCCGTCACAACAGACGTATATTTATCATTTAAGCCCCTGCAAGTTTCTATCTTGGAGGTGATTTCATCAAACCTTATTTTTAGTAAATACCTTTCTCAAAAAGAAAACACTACCGAGATTCTAAGCCTGTAGGCCTAATTATTCAGAAATGGGAATTTTTTAAACCTATAACGCTTCTGTAGTCTAAAAGCAACTACTTTGGTTCTCGATTTCTTCACAAGATCTCTTTTTAGCAGATCTATTTTAAACAAAAGACGCTTATTCAACGCCACTCATGCAAATCTGATAGTTAAAAAAAAATTCAGTTTTTTCTATTACGCTCTCGTGAACTCAGTTTAAGAGTATATTTCGGGAAAACCAGTTCGTAGTGCAACGCTACTCTACAAAAGGAACATATCTGCCAAATTTCTAAACTGTAGTTACAGTAGTTTTGGGTATTTCATGATGATTGAGTGAATAAGTCGCTTTTCTCCTGCATGTATAGCTAACAATTTTTTTTATCGTAGTCGAAGTGAAATTGCTGGAATTTAACTTAGTTACATTTCATTATGCGTCTTTTTTAAGGTAATGAACAATGCGTGATGATATTCCAAAAACAGGTAATATAGGGAAAAAAATAACTCAATTCCTACTTAGATCAACAAAAATTTTTTTTTTTATCTTAGTTAATTTTTATTAAATAGCTGCAATTTATATGAATATGCATTTACATATGACAGAATCACAATATTGTGGCAAACTAGAAAGCGATTTTCTTTGCAATTTTCCATTTTCCTTCCTATACAGGGTGTTGGACTATTTTGTGTTTCGTTTGTTACTATTTATTCATTCATTACATTGAATTACTCTAATAAAATAGCATAGTCAAAAAAAAAAAAAAACACATTCTCAAAAGTTGGGCCATCCCAGCTGGGATTCGAAGCCATGACCTTTGGATTAGATGTCCAACGTGCTACCCATTACGCTACAAGGATACAGGGCGCGGTTTTCCTTTTTATATAGGGTATCGAACTATCATTTTTGTTTGTTACTATTTATTCATTTTTTTTATAATTTAATTAATAAATTAATATTTCAAAAAACTGATTTAACATCAAGTGTCGTCCACTACAAGTTTAAAAAAAATGTATTTGAACTTGGATGGATGAACTTAACTTAACTCAGGGGTGCGGCAGCTCATGAGGACCAAGGCCTACTGTGTCCAACTCAGTATACGCGACCTTAGGCCCTGAGGTGCATGAGCACATCTTATGGTCAGGTGTTCGGTTTGACGCGAAACCCCCAAGGTTAAGCTTCCAAGCAAGCTTGATACTCATTTACCAACTCACCGAAGGGATGAAAGGCTGAGTCAACCTTGACCAACCCGAGGTTTGAACCTGGGACCTATGGCATGGAAGTGCGATGCCCTAACCACTCAGCCACTAGGCTTCAGATGGATGAATAGAAAGTATTTTTATCAAGGATTGAATATTTGAATAAGATATATATATATATATATATATATGTCGCAGGGAAAGAATTAAATTAGGAATTTCATCAAACTCCTAAGGGAGATGATCAATTCACGCAAGATGTTAAAATAAGAACTCTAAGTTTATTTGCCTAAGGAAAGTATAAGTGATTTGATCAAATCCGTAACCTTTTTCATTGAAATAATGAAATAATATTGTCAAGAGTTTAAAAGTGTTTATTTAGCAAATATGGTGCATTATTAAAAGTAGAGTAATTAATACAACAATAATCATTGAATTACAAATTATTTATCCGAAATTAATTGACAAAATAATTAAATAATAAAGCAGGTATTTTTTCTGTTAAAAGGATATTTATAGCAGAATTTCAAACATTTTTTTAAAAAAATTATACATTTATTAGTTGGTATACCCGTTCTTCGCAAGGGTGAACTGAAAAATTGAACAACACGTATTGAAGGATAAAGAAATTTTTTTAATGAGTTAGTTTTCCGTGAATTGAAAATTAAACAAAGAAGCTTTTTGCATATCTCAGCTGAACAAAAAAATAAGAAAAAAACATCTTTGTTAAATTTTAAGTCTGTAGATCTAATAGCTGATAAAATAGAATTTTTATATTTATAAATCCGCATAACACTCTTGAGGGTCGATTTTTGAAAATACCTCTATAGAGCTGATCTCTGCTCAGCAAAAATAACACATTGTTAAAAGTTTTGTTGTAATAAATGTTTAAAATAGTGTAAATAATTTATATCTGAATGTGTAATAAATTAATATTATTTTCTGTTGTATTTATTTTATGTTAAAATTGTAATATTCGCAAGCAACACCATTTCTTAAATTATAATGGCGATTCAATAAAAAACATAGCGAAATGTTGACAATAGAGTCAAGTTGGCAAATGTCTAGCTACTTTCATAGTTCGAGCTTTATTAGAGCTTTGTAAGACCCGCCGTGTAATGGAGCTATGCAAGTTAATGCTTTATCTACCGCATTATGATTTACTGCAGTTTTTTTTCATGCAATATTTTTTTTTTGGATCACTACATTAAAAATTAAGGGATATACATAAACAAAATACTCCACTTTGGGAAATTTAATCTGTTAGAGCTAATAAATTAATTAAATATATTCCACTGTAAAATTAATTATATACACCGTTCACTTAAAATAAATAATCAAATCGCTTTCTAAGGTCATCATTAACATACAAAAACATAAGACACTTAAATTTTGACATTAACTATTTTTTCGTGACAAAAATGATAATCTTTGCAATCCGCTGAAAACGCAATATCTGCTACAAAACTATACGCCTTCCCCGTTAAAATACTCATCTTATAACCCGTGCTGCCATATATCTGCCAAATGTTCGTATTTATAATATATATCTAGATGTACTAGTTCAGAAATATCTTTTTTTTTTTTTGGATCACCGTTTTTTTAGATATTTTTTCTCTTTTTAAAATAGCTTTTATTATTATCTAAAAGTTTTTTTTTATCTATAAAGAGGGCGTGTTCGAATTCCCTAATTTGTTTGTTTACAGTTTTCAATTGAAGTTTTATCCAGTTTTTCATTTTCAGGCATCCAAAAGTGATATATCAATCGAAAAATAATAATACAAAGAAGATAACTAAATAAAACTAAAAAAAATGATATTTAGGTCATTTTTTTTGGTGCGTCACGTCAGAAGCCCGTCGCTGCCAGGCACGGACGAGGAGAGAACGGGAGGTAAAGGAGTGGTAACAAGTGAAAACTGAGCTCTACAAATGCTGACTTGTTCATTTCATCATTTCACTAAAACAGTTCGGGGATTTGATGAAATCACTTACTTACATCAGAGAAAGAACCTCAAAGAGATATTATTTTAACATCTTGCTTAGGGATTTGATGAAAGCCTAATTTCATCATTTTCCTGCAACAGCTATGTAGGAAGAGAGTAAACTAATATGAATGAATAGCAACCCATCTTTGAAATAATATATTCTCAGTTTTGATTCACAGAGTTTCGTCACTTCAATAAGATATCTTAAATATTTCACATTATTAATTTAATATTAATTGGTATGGCCTCTTTAAATTCTCGAATAACACGCAGACTGCCTTTTCTTGGACTACAATAACTATATTCATCCTCTATTAAGGTTATTATCAACATTTAGACCGTCTGCAGTATTCTCTCCACTTATAAAATCCGATTACAACCTTTAAAAATATTAAGTGATTTGGCAAAGGATAATACGATATATCTAGACGGAGGTCTGAAGAATTAATATTTTATGGTATGAATCTAGACATTTCAGAGCAGCTTAAATTGCGCCGAAATTTGAGCAAAGATTTAGAAGGGTGCAATTACATGAAATAAATTTAACCACAACGATTAAAATCCCCCAGGAAAATCTACTCCAGCAATCCTCCACAAACCTTTTGACACAAGCAAGGACAGACCTGTCTTGGAATGCGAAACATTCTTCCACCTATTCTACCAAACTGTAGTTTCAGGGTGAAAAATCACCGCCCGCATTGTTCTCCTAATCGAGCATCCGAAACTTGGGGCTCGAAGCAACGTCTATTTAGTGCGGAGTAATTCCAGAATACCTCAGCGTCCATTCTAGAAGACCGTTATTTCCTGTTTCGTCAAACCCTCCAAGCAATTATCATTAACTCAAAATTGAATTTTCAAGGAGCGATCAATAACTATTGGTGGAAGAGAAGAGTATTTCCAAGTCGCTCCCAAACCTTTGTTTACTTTGGGAAGGGATCGTCTGTCGCTTTCATCCAATTTGGAAGAATCGATTCAGTGTGTTCTCTGTTATAATTTTTATTCTATCACAGGTCAGTTCGGTTGTTGGATTTAATCGTTTTAATCGTTACGTCGATGAATTGCGTTACAAGATGCGGAGTCTGAGATAAATTGCGAAACACAAGAGTTGGATTACATTAATTTTATTCAATTAGATTGATTGAACAAAGCATATGCATTTTGCAACAATTTTGAAGTTGTTACGTAATGCGAAATAAAATGTTAAATCTAATCATTCATTTAGAATTTATGATTTCTTTTTCAATTCCTTCTATTAGTTCACACTCTCCCTATATATATATATATATATATATATTATATATATATCTTGTTCAATTTTTCAATCGTTAATAAAGTGCTTTTTATTCATCCACTCAAGTTCAAATACATCTTTTTTTACCCTGTAGTGGATGACACTTGATGTTAATACACTTTTTTCAAATATTAATTAATGAATAAATAGTAAAAAACAAAACTAATAGTCGAAGTCCATATATAGAAAGGAATATCAATCGTGTCCCTGAAGCGCAACGGATAGCGCGTTGGACTTCTCATCCAAAAGGCGAGGGTTCGAATCTAACCTGGACTGGCTTAATTTTTCAGAAGGTTATTTCTTTTTACTATAATATTTTATTGGAATAATTAAGTTTAAGTAATTGAATAAATAGTAACCAACAAAAAATAAAGAGTAGTACAGCACCCTATATAGAAAGGAAAATGGAAAATTGCAAGGAAAATCGCTTTCTAGTTTGCCACAATATTGTGATTCTGTCCTATGTATATACATATTTATCTTAATTGTAACTATTTAATAAAAAGTAACTAAAATAATATTTTCGTTTGCTGACCTAAGTAGGAATTGACTTTTTTTTTTTAAAAAAATCTATTACTCGTAAAATTTTTTTTACTCTTTCGAACAAATATTTCTCGTTGGTTTAACTCCATTTAAATTATTTCTATACTATTAAAATGACCCCGGTAGCCTAGCGGTTATGTTCAAGAACTCGTGACAGGATTTCAAACCTGGTACCCCTAAATACCTGCAGTGTAGAGGATTTCGATGCATATTAAATTTGTTGAGGCTCAAACTCTTCCCATTGGAATTATGTGGTAGTTTGAAGAAGGAGTTCCATGTCAGGTGTCAACCTCGTCACTTGACTAAGGTTCGAAATTACGAGGTCCATCGCCAATAATCCTCGAGTTGCCCTATAGTGCGACGTTTATCAACACCTGCTCACTCTATCAACCATTTTCAATTAAAAAACGTAATGCTAATACAACGATGTTTTTATTTAATTTCTAGAATGTATATTATATTTAACTAGTTGCAATTAAGCAACGCTAAGGATTAGGAAATAATAAAATCTTGTGCCTGACCGCAGTTTTATTTTATGCTTTGGAAGCATTTTGTGTCAAGTTAAATGAACTATCAATTGGATCTTTGAAAATATTTAGATCTACTTTCAAAAATCGGCGAATGAATGTAATCGGATAAGGAATTTTCTTATCCTTCTATTTTTCGGTCTGCATCGAATTCCATAAATTCAAATAAATGTTCGACATATGAGAAGGTAAGTAGATATTTCATCGGATTAACGCTACTTTTAAAAATCCAATGCTGCTGGAATTTCAAATAGTAAAATCTCATTCCTTACTAGATTCATTCGAAACTGGATTTTTATTGTGGTACGCAATGGA